CTCCCCTTCCCCTTCCTCCTTTCCCTTCTAATAACCACAGTTCTCTTCTCTCCTAAGAGTTCGAAGTATTATTGTGATTGTTGTTTCTCTCTCTCTCTCTTTATTGATTGATTATGAGTTTAGCTCCTATTTATGAGTGAGGACATGTGGTATTTTTCTTCTGCACCTGGGTTGTTTCACTTAGCATAGTTTTCTCCAGCCTCATTTGTGTTGCTGCAAATGGCAGAATTTCATTCTTTTTTATGGCTGAGTAGTATTCCATTGTGTTTATATCCCACATTTTCCTTATCCAGTCATCCATTGATGGACATTTAGATTGGTTCCAACTCTGGGCTGTTGTAAATAGAGCTGCCATAAGCATGGGAGTGCAGGTATCCCTTCGACATGATGATTTCCATTCCTCTGGGTGTATACCCAGCAGTGGGATTGTTGGATCATATGGCAGTTCTATCTGTGGTTGTTTAAGGAACCTCCATACTGTTCTCCATAATGGTTGCACAATTTTACAGTCCTACCAACAGTGTAGGAAGGTTCCCCTTTCTCCACATCCTCACCAGCATTTGTTATTCTGTCTTTTTGACAATAGCCAGTCTAACTGGGGTGAAGTGATATCTCAGAGTGGTTTTGATTTGCATTTCCCTGATGACTGGCGATGTTGAGCTTTTTTTTCATATACCTACTGGCCATCTGTATGTCTGCCTTTGAAAAGCGTCTACTCAGCTCCTTTGCCTATTTTTTAATTGGATTATACGGGTTTTTACTGTAAAGTTATTTGAGCTCCTTGTATATTCTTTATACCCAGAATATAAATTTTTATTTTTTAAAGGACTTTTTTTTTTTAAGCAGCAGTCTTCAGTTCACAGCAAAGTTGAAAGTTCCTGTATCCCCCCTTCCCCCACAGATGCACAGCCTTCGCCATTTTCAGCAGCCCTCGCCGGAGTGCTGCTACACTTGTTAGACTGATGCACCTATGTTGATCCCTTCCTCCCCTGTCCCCCTGGGCAACTGCTGATCTTTTCACTGTCTGCATAGATTTACCTGTCCCACAATGTCATATGGCTGGAATCATACAGTATGTGGCCTTTTCAGACTGGCTTCTTTCACTCAGCAATATGCATTTAAGTATCCTTCGTGTCTTTTCATGGCTTGATAGTTCATTTCTTTTTAGCGCTGAATAGTATTCCAAAAGTAAACTTTTTTGCTCAGCATTTTACCATGTTGACTATTATACATCATTACACAAGACTGTTTTATCCCCAAAGAGTTTGTAGTCCAGTCAAGTAGACTGGGTAGGCCCCCTGCACTGTGATAAATGCATGACAGGGAATGTACTCAGTGAAAGGGGGGAACATAGGGACATTTGGGTCAGGGGGCATGTGCCACGTAGCCCTCTCTCCTTGAGGTGCTGAGGATTTCTGTGGAGTATAACATATTGCCCTCTTTTCAGGAATTGTATTACTGTACAGTTAGCAGATAAGCTGGCTAGTACCCGTGACGTAACAGCAAGTAATAGAACCTAATATGTGATCAAAGGCTAAGTTGTGAGCAGTAGATTCTGGAATGGCAGGGGTTGGAAAGAGAAGGAAACCAATGATTTTACTGTAAAGTTATTTGAGCTCCTTGTATATTCTTTATACCCAGAATATAAATTTTTATTTTTTAAAGGACTTTTTTTTTAAGCAGCAGTCTTCAGTTCACAGCAAAGTTGAAAGTTCCTGTATCCCCCCTTCCCCCACAGATGCACAGCCTTCGCCATTTTCAGCAGCCCTCGCCGGAGTGCTGCTACACTTGTTAGACTGATGCACCTATGTTGATCCCTTCCTCCCCTGTCCCCCTGGGCAACTGCTGATCTTTTCACTGTCTGCATAGATTTACCTGTCCCACAATGTCATATGGCTGGAATCATACAGTATGTGGCCTTTTCAGACTGGCTTCTTTCACTCAGCAATATGCATTTAAGTATCCTTCGTGTCTTTTCATGGCTTGATAGTTCATTTCTTTTTAGCGCTGAATAGTATTCCAAAAGTAAACTTTTTTGCTCAGCATTTTACCATGTTGACTATTATACATCATTACACAAGACTGTTTTATCCCCAAAGAGTTTGTAGTCCAGTCAAGTAGACTGGGTAGGCCCCCTGCACTGTGATAAATGCATGACAGGGAATGTACTCAGTGAAAGGGGGGAACATAGGGACATTTGGGTCAGGGGGCATGTGCCACGTAGCCCTCTCTCCTTGAGGTGCTGAGGATTTGTGTGGAGTATAACATATTGCCCTCTTTTCAGGAATTGTATTACTGTACAGTTAGCAGATAAGCTGGCTAGTACCCGTGACGTAACAGCAAGTAATAGAACCTAATATGTGATCAAAGGCTAAGTTGTGAGCAGTAGATTCTGGAATGGCAGGGGTTGGAAAGAGAAGGAAACCAATGAGAGTTGGAATGCTTGCGGAGAAAAATCTTGAACTGAGCCGTGAAATCTGGGAAGGCTGTAGAGGAGTTAAGGGGAGAGAGCAGGGCATTCCAGGTCGGGAGTGGCTTCATCACGAGGTGCTTAATCCAGTGCCATAACCAGTACCTGGCACATAGTAGGTGCTCAATTAAATGTTTTTTAAGTGGATGAGTGGACATGGCCAGATGAACAGATTGAAAGTAATGTACCTCTTTGACCACCCTGTGATGTTAAAAGAAGATCTGACTGAATGTACCATGGATGGTGGTATAAATTGGTAAAGCCTTTTTGGAAGACATTGAGCCTGGGAGTATCTGTAAAAATTTTAAATGAGCATGCCTTTGACCCAGAAACTCCACTTGGAGAAATCTACTTTAAAGCCATATTTGCCTATATTCTTAAAGGTATGTGATTAAATAGTCATGTTATATTCATATATGGACTTTGAAATTTAACAAACACGTATAAGCATTTTCAAATGTGCCCAGAACTGGACTAAGTGTTTGCAAACGTTAGTCTTAAAAGAATACTTTGTGGTAGATACTATGATATTAGTACCATCTTATTGTTGAGGAAACTGGCACCAAGTTTAACTTGACCAAGTCACACAGCTGGTAAATGGCAAAGCCAGCAGTGGTAGTCATGTCTGGTTCATTGGTCCTGCTATTACACTATCCAGTAATTACAAAGAACTTGGTGGACTCAATGTTATGTACCTTACATGTGCGTGAGACCCCCCAGAACACAGTGAAAGTGTAGTCGGTCAATGCATAGAACTGATATCATGCATTAAAGAATGAAACGCTGCCCACCCCTGTCTACATGTGCATATGCGCGTATGTGTAAATACGTAGGTGTGTCTCCCAAACTGTTGCTGATGCTTTGCCTCTGGGGAGAGGAGTTGGAAAGGGAAGCAAAGAGACATTTTCATGTTTTTACTTCCATATTATTAAATTTTATAGTAAGTAAGTTATGTATTCCCGTATTCATTTTTTTAAAAAAGAAGAAATAATGACTTTTTTAAGTACAAGAAAGACAGCCTGGGACATCTCAGTTAAGACAAGCCTTGGTAGTCCCAGTTTTCTTGAATTTTCCCCAACAGTGAATCTCTTGAGTTTAATGAGATCTTAGGGTATATATAGTTGAGCATTCTTTTCTTTCTCTGTATAGATTCCTGTTCTCTCCCTTGTCTTCCCGGTGAAGCAGCGATAAATCCACCATTCCTTTTAATTAGGTTGAGCTGCCACATGTCTGTCCATGTTCTGTAATATTTGATGGTAATGAATGAGTTTATCTTCTTTGAATGTACTCCGGTAGCAGTTTTGTGAAGGTTACATTATTTTTAATTATGCAGATTGGTAAGAATGTGGACATTTAAGGGGGAAAAGTCAGAGCTAAGTCAGGTGGCATCCAGCCTGGATTGCACCTCAGGATGCAGGCTCCATGAGAGACCGGATTCCCAAGGGAAAGGTTAATAATGGTAGGTAGAAGTTTGGGAAGATCATCAGAATATTCCAGAGAATACCTAGATAAGTTTATTACTTAATGAACTTTTAAAGGCCTCATGATGATGTTGCTTGCTGGTGGCATAGGGTAAATATAGTTGAAAGGTTGCAATTCAGGTCAGAGACCCCCTGCCCAATCATTAAATTATTTTGAGAGGTTACTGGGATGGTGTCATTCTGGCAGACAGAATGTAAAATCTGTTCTGTAAAGTACATAGTAGCCTTCTAGTACCCTAGTCCACAATTTATACTACATTGGTGTGCTCGGAAAAACTCCATGTTGTCAGCCACAAAACAGCCTGAAATTTCTTTTGGAAAATTATCTACAAAATGTAGATCAACCACACTGTATGTGGTTGATTCTTGGTCCACTGTTAGAAGGTAAACTTAGGCACAGTGAAATTTTAGCAAGTTTATCTGAGCAGACAACGATTAGGACTCTGGCAGCCCCAGATCTCAAGCAGTTCAGTGCCCCACCAAGGGAGCGATCAGGGGAAACGTTTGTAAGTTGTTCTTTGAGGAAGCAAGACAAAGAAGATGCATTTGATTGGTGGAAGTGGAAAGTTTTTAGTTACAGGTTAGTTTTGGTGGGTTCTGATTGGTAAGGCTTGAGTTGACATTGAGCTGGATTTCGGTTTGCTTATGTAGGAACCCAAGGCAGTGGAGCTGTCTCAGCCTAATGGCCCCCCAATTATTTTAACACCACCATGAAGATTTTTGCTTTTTGTGTCCTCATCACCTTCAGTTCCCATTTCCTAAGTCTGATCCAAGACAGACTTAATAATAATCATCTGCTCATGCTCATCACTAGCTGGTGAGCTCCTTGAAGCTGCGGAGAGTGTTTGGGGAGTCTTTGTATTTCCTTCAAGGCCCACAACAATATAGGTCTTTGGAAAGGTTTGTGAAATTGAACTGATAGAAATGAAATTTCATGAATTGCTCTTTTCTGTTACTTCCTTTCCAGGAATATGCTATGTAAAGATGGCAACAGGTAAGTTTTCTGTGTGTATATTGGACATAACATTTTCAGTTTTCTTGTTAAATAGGAACTGTCCAAGATCACAATGCCGGTTATATTTAATGAGCCTTTGAGCTTCCTGCAACGACTAACTGAATATATGGAGCATACTTACCTCATCCACAAGGCCAGTTCCCTTTCTGATCCTGTGGAAAGGATGCAGGTATGTGTCAGGCAGGCGCTGAAAAGGTTTAAGTCTTAGAGGCTTCTCTGCTAACCCTCCCCCAAACACACATACACAAAATTAGCATGAAGTCCAGTGTGAGGTTGGGAGATGTTATCAAAGCTTAATCAGCATATTCGGAGTGTCCTCTGCATCCATTCCCCTTGCCCACCCTCTAGTCAGAGTGCCACCACAGTGGAAAGACCCAGGAGAAGTGCAGGAGAAACAGAAGGTGGCGCCTGACAAAGCCTGGATGTTGGTGAGCTGTCCCTAAGTCTTCATTTTAGAAAGGAGCACTGCCTTGCAGGGGGACGTCAGCTGTTCTTTCACACTTCCTCACAGTGTTTCCAAGAAGGAGCAAACACACACTCACACACACAAATGTATGTTTATGCTTGTGTGTGTATCTATCTCTACACACACATTGCTATATGTTAAAAGACAGCAAGGAGTTGAACTTTTCTATTTTCTGTTAAATAGAAGATGTTTATGTGTGGTACATGGGTGGGCTAGATACAGGCAGACTACAGAAGACACATTGTTCTCCTTCAAACAAAGCACTGGCCTTCTAAACTGAATCTTTCTGTTCTTCCATTTATGTAAATCAGCTTTTTCCAGCCTCATTGGACTTGACGCCAGTTAAATGGCTTAGTTTTACATTTCCTTCCCCAATCCTGAAAGTGTTACATTTTCAAAATATTTTAAATGAATTACAAGTAACTTTGGGTTTGAGAGTCTTTAAAAGGTCCTCGAGAAAGTTTGTAGCACTATGAGGGTGTTATAAAAACCACATTTGGGAATCACACTATAGGAAGAGACTCAAAATAATTTTCATTCTGAATATGCAAAGTTTGCTAGAGCCATGTTGAAAATCCAAAGTAATTAAGCTCCTCAGAATAATTTAGTAAATTACTGTCTTCAGCAAAATTCCAGTTCCTGTGAGAATGAGGAACAAGCGAGGCCATTTTTAACTTGTGTGGTGCTCTGTCCACAGTGCGTAGCTGCGTTTGCTGTTTCTGCTGTCGCTTCTCAGTGGGAACGGACTGGAAAGCCTTTCAACCCGCTTCTGGGAGAAACTTACGAATTAGTTCGGTGAGGTCTTTCATTCCATTCCAAGTGGAAAGTCAGATTTGCATGATTAACATAGTTTTTCAAATGAAAAGGTACAATGTACATTTTGAGCATCACCAACAAAAATTATGTATGAGCGGAGCAGGTTAACTATTTTGATGTTTGTTTCTATGATAATTATTATTTTAGAGACTATCAAAAATATCGGAACGTACATAAAATGTGTCATTATAAAAAGCAATTGTGTGGATCTCAGTATTTCTGATCACATGGGATTATCATCCCTTTCTTGTTATGTAGATCACAAGACATGATGGGTTTTTTAATAACCTTTTAAAATATATTGACATAAATATGTACTGTTGCCATAAAGGCAACGAATGCATCTACAAACGCAGTTCTGTTTGTCTGTGCTACGCTGTTTCTTGTTTACACACAGGGGGATTTATCTGGCTTTACTTTTTCTTTTCTGCACAAGTTTGATCTCATTTATTCCCTGCGTATTTGGAAATGGACACTAAATTTTTCTATTAATATAAAAGGAACAATAAGTTTTAAATTTATGTGGCTAAAGTTACCATTTCATGCAAACCCCTCTTTTCTGCACAAGTTTGATCTCATTTATTCCCTGCGTATTTGGAAATGGACACTAAATTTTTCTATTCATATAAAAGGAACAATAAGTTTTAAATTTATGTGGCTAAAGTTACCATTTCATGCAAACCCCCCAAATTCATGTGGGTGTTCTTTATTTTAATATGTTCGTTATGTTAGCATTATAATAACATTGGATTTAGGAGTTTGGGTTGCATTTGTAGAGTTTCTCATATGTTAAGATGTTCTTTCATCAGGATGATGATAAAGAATTTTTTACTTTTTTGAACCTGTTTCTCTAATACTTTTACAGACTGAAATGGCAGTAATGTACACATTCAGTGAGAGGACTGATTACATTGTTGCTTTTTTTCTTTACTCTCAAGAGATGATCTTGGATTCAGACTCATCTCAGAGCAGGTCAGCCATCACCCACCAATCAGTGCATTTCATGCGGAAGGATTAAACAACGACTTCATCTTTCATGGCTCAGTCTATCCCAAACTGAAGTTCTGGGGAAAGAGTGTAGAAGCAGAACCCAAAGGAACCATCACCTTGGAGCTCCTTGAGTAAGTTCTAATCAAGCCATGAAATTCTTTTCATGGGTACTTACTAATAAGTGTATACACTTGCAGACAGACCTGACCTTATTGCTCAAAAGCTGGATAAAAAGAAGGAAACAGCTTTTATAAACTGTAAATTATATACCTCTGTGTTAAAGAATTTGAGAAATATGGGAATAGCCATTGCTGATCATTCCAAGTTATGTGTAAAAAGTTTAACTTGATGTTTGACTGTGGTGCTTGGATCTATTTTAAGACCCATGGAGTTAATCACTCCATGACAGTTCTTATGAAACAAGCTTTCTATATGTATTGTGGTGCCAGTGTTTTGTTTAAAGATCTGTCAAGGTGAATTCACCTTGAAAAATACTGAAATGATGATCGTGGGGCACGTGTTAGACATTAGGTAAGTTGGGAGTTCTCTTGTTTTGCAAGATCACTTTTAAATTCAAAGGTAGTTCCGATTAAGGTAAACACACTGTACCCTCTCTCTCCCACTGATTACAAGAGGAAACCTTGGACAGAAGACATAAAGCAACAGTCTGAGGACTCTGCAGAGTAAATCATAGTGGCAGATTAGGAGAGAAATCAAACCCTGAAGACCAATATGGCAATGAGTGTCCTGGTTTTATATTTTTCTCCTGTATCTCCTGGCTTAGAGTCAGAGCAGTAGATCACAGAATGGGGCAGTGGAGTTAGACAGAAAAGTTCCAAGAGAGACCCTCTGTTTCTGATCAGAGGACCTGGAAAGATACCCTTGCCTGATGTAGAGAGTCAGGGAAATTCTGTTTTATTTTTATCTCTCAGCCTTGTGCCAAAGCAAGCTCCAGGACCCGTACCTATACTCCCGCAGTGGCGGTGGCCATGGCAGCCACACAAGTACCTAATACTTAGAAAAAGTCTTTCTCCTTGACCAGAGGAACTGGGTAAAGGGGCCCCGGTGGTCCAAATAGTGTGAGGAGAATCCCTGTTTCTTTTTTTCTCTTTCTTTTCTCTCAGTTCTTTGCCCCAAAGGAAGACCTAGTTGTGGCAAGGATAAGAGTGAGCAGGGAAGCTCAAGCCCCAGCTTGCTAACCAGAGGGCAGAGAGAAAGGGATCCTGTAGAGCTGCGGGTAAATTCCTAAGCTCGTCCCTGCACTCACACCTTGAAGTGACCCAAAATGGTTTATCAAAGGTCTCAAGATCTGAACTACTGTGTGACCCAAGGTCCAGGTCCCTGGACAGCTACTGAAGGGTGAATCTGAATAACATTACATAGGCTTTGGAAATTAAACTGACACTGCAATCAAAGCCCACAGAAGGAGGGTCAGGACTTTCAGTGGCCTGAAAGTATGTTAATTGCCCACTAAAACAAAGCAAAACAAGAAAAATCAATATTCTTCAGAAGATTTTAAGAGGACACAGAGTCTTGTAATATCCAAATGTCCGAAATTATTTGGCAAACCAAGAAACAAAAAAATCTCAACAACTCACAGTGGGAAAAGCAATCAACACACTATAACCCCAAGATGACGCAGACACTGAAATTTGTATCAAAGACTCTAAAGCAGCTGTTGTAACTGTGCTCTATGAAATAAAGGTGAACACTGTTAAATGAATAGAAAGACATTTTAGCAGAGAAATAGAAAATTCTAGCAAAGAAATAGAAAATTTCTGGAAATTTTGGTACTGAAAAATATAGTAATGTAAATGCAATAACTGGGATAGGCTTAATAGAATGAAGAATGATAAAATATGTATAGGATCTGTATGCTAAAAACTACAAAATACTGATGAAAGTAATCATAGAATACCTGAGTAATAGACATACTGTGTCTCAGTATATCTGGAAGCCTCAGTGTAGTTAAGATTCACTTCTCCCCTAGTTGACCTATAAGCAGTCTGTATTAACACAATCAAAATCAAAATCCCAGAACGATTTTTGATAGATATAGAGAAGCTGATTCTAGGTATACATGGGAAGGCAAATGAAATAGAATAGCCAAAACAATTTTGAAAAGAAAGAACAGAGTTGACAGACTCCCAATACCCAATTTTAATATTTAACTCTAAAGCTATTGTAATCGAGATAATGGCAAATGGATAGACCACATACATTAATGGAACAAAAAGTCCAGAAATTGACCAACAGAAATATTGTCAATTGATTTTTTTTTTTTTTGTCAATATACAATGTGGTTGATTATTATGGCCCATCACTGAAACCTCCCTCCCTCCTCCCTCTCCCCCCTCCCACCCAAGAATGTCCTTTCCGTTTGCTTGTTGTAACACCTTCAAAGAAACTGTAGTTGTTATA